GTCGCCCATGCCGCCCATGTCGCCCATGCCGCCCACGTCGCCCATGCCGCCCACATCACCCATGCTGCCCAGCTCGCCCATGCCACCCAGGTCGCCCATGTCGCCCATGCCACCCAGGTCGCCCACGTCGCCCACATCGCCCATGCCACCCAGGTCTCCCATGCCGCCCACATCGCCCGTGCCGCCCATGCCACCCAGGTCTCCCATGCCGCCCACATCGCCCGTGCCGCTCACGTCGCCCATGCCGCCCATGTCGCCCGTGCCGCCTATATCGCCCACGTTGCCCGTGCCGCCCACATTTCCAGTTCTGTTTTATTGTCGACACCATTGGCGTCAGCAACGGAAACCACCTTTGTGAAGGGCTCCATCACAGAAAGGCAAATATGACCATGAATACGTTCCGCAAGATCTCTGGACGACTCGGGGACCTACAGCACGTTCCATTGGAGAGTGACAGTGCCTTGGATGAACGGATCCGGTTGGCCTTCACCGATCATCCCCAGCGGCGATCTCCCGCACCCGTTCAGCGTGGCCGTAAGGAATCAAGGGATTATAGCAGGGAGCGGAGAGCTCATCTTACGTATCGCGAGGTTTTGAGGAATCATCCCCACGCTTTTCTTCCGTTCATTCTGGCCGCATCCCCCAGGTCCTGCTCCCGGCTCAGCGTTTTCGACTTCTTCCGATCATACAAACAACCATACCCCGTGAAACTCCATGGTGATCTGAGAAAGTCATTGGAAGATTCTGCCGTGAGACAAAATATCAACAACCATCGAGAGTTTCGCTCTTGGATGAATCTCCTCTTCGCAGGTTCGCCTCCATGATTCCCACTTCTCGCCAATAGCTTACGAATGATCCCAGCGCCGGACATTGGTCCAACGCTCTTCTCCTTCCCGGCAGCTGATCCAGATGCTTTGAGGGGAGTTCTAGGCGACCGCTTGCATAATGCGGTGTTGAATTTCTCAAGCACCGCAAGCCCTCTGGGTACAGGAGGGTGTGTCCGCACGCTGGTACCCTCCGGTGCTTTTCAGGACATGATACTGGAGTTGGACATCGGGCTTAATGATGGGCTGGCGTCAGAACTCTTCCCTGGCGCGTACCCTAGTGTGTTTTCAACGGCAGCTGATGTCGCCATCACATTATCTCCGGCGTCATGTTCTGGACTTAGCTCCATCCGCTCCGCTGTGCTTCTGGAACATATTCACAGCAGTCAACTTCGACAGTGGGAACAGAAGGGCCGGCTAGCGGAGTACACGGCGTGTGTTTGCCTAAAATTACGACCGAAAGACCCCAAGCACGGTACACTTGTCATACGCTTGGCTTACACCTGGCATTCATGGATATCCAAACTATACCCAGGGCCCAATAGCTAAGTTCTTCCGGCCGCCTTCCGCTGTCCATCTGCTTCTCAAGTCAAAGAAGAACTATGCAGTCTCTATAATTACGCTCCATATTTCCCCTTGTTCACATCCTCATCCGATATGTAGTATCCCCTTACGACTCTGGCACCTATGCCACAGGGTATGGGCATCGTGAAGTCGCCAGCATTGCTCCATATCGGCTGGCCATCGTCGTCATGGAATATGACGTTTTCGCAAGCGTAAAAGTGATAGATTCGTTCTCTCGTGCTGTCTCCATCAATATATCCCAGTGCCGCCTTGTTGTGGTTTTGAAAGACGGCTGTTGATACTTGAAGACTCTGGCAACGGTTGCTCTTTGCCGTATCAGCACATGTACCATAATCAGGAAGCAACGCTCGTACCCAATCCGCCAGCGCGACGGATTCCGGCATGTCTGTGTTCACTAGGGGTCACACGGCTCGAGGGAGTCTCGTGGTCACCTTCGCTGGCGGAGAAAACTATCGGGAGGCGGCGTCTCGTTGATCGTATGCTGAGGAGGGGTAGGGAGCAGTAGAAGTCGTCGACTTGCCATCACGTGGCGGACAGGTCATGACGTCGCGTCTTGAGTGGGGCACGGTCCCAAGAGTACTAACCTCAAGAGCCCAAGGTAGCTTGACTAAAGTGGGTCGCCCAAGTTCTGCAGTCCGGGTACCGCATAAGCTCTACAGAATTGGTGACTATTGTGCAAATTTAATATATCTGATGATCAGGAAGGTTCACGAATTCAGCAGGGTGGCGTGCTTCAATTCCGCCGCAGCAGAAGCTTGCTGACCTGCGCATTCGGTGGCAGCCACGCGACAGTATATTCCTCGTCACCGGAGACGGGCACAAAACGCGCTGAGCTACTGGACGTTCTATCTGCCTATCGATACGGACCAGGGGTGGCGTTCTGAGGCCGCGTTCAACTACCCGGTATATCAGAGTTGACTGGAGAGATCTGGATTGATCACACTCGTGACACCTGTTGGCAGAGTTAACAAGACTGGACGGCAAATTGGTACGTTCCGTCAACGCCCAGTTAGGGGTAGGCGGCCGGCGCTCCCGAAGAATATCCGATTCCCATCACGGCCCTGAAAAGGTCACCGAAAAGGGGCTAGACGTCCCCCCTCTGCGGCCCCACTTGGGATCTTATGTCACATGCTCAAATCACGTGGCCAATAACTGCATAGACGAGTACGCACCCGTCCTCGCCGAGGTTGGACATGAGCTGGTATCTGCCATTGACGACGCAAGGCTGTGTAGGGACATCAGACTGAACCGATATCGACCTGATGTCTGGTTGATCAAGGCAAGGCATGAAGCGAGCGATCTAGAGTTGGTGCGTTAAGGGATTTCCCGGTGATCTGCCGGATCCGGTGATACGCCGGATCACCGCCACTCCGCACTCTCGACATCAATCGACAATAACTCAACAACCATGGCATCTATTGACGAGGCACTT